ATAATGAAATTAGTTTTTCCCCAATTATACCTGCTAAGTATGTAGAGCTTAGAATACTCTTCAAAGTTTGCTAAAAAGTTCCAAATAAAAATGACAATTACAAGGAAATAAATATCAATGTATGCACTAATAATTTCTTGTAGATACCAAAAGGTCTACTAAATCCTAATAAATATTTGTATTTAATATTTGTAATACTTTTTGTTTAAATATTGACTTCTAGTCTCATTATTGTATAAAAGCAGCTAGTTTTATAAAAATAACAATTCATCCATAACATAGTTAGAAGTTAAGCAAATTAAGTTAAAATACGAGTTTATTACTTACAAGTTAGCAAGTACAATATAACAATGAATTGTAAACGTAAGCATAATCATATTGATGATTAATTATTAAATTGTTAATCGATATTAATTAAAAATATTTTTATACATAAATACTGTAGTATACGTGTTGGGATTGTTTGCATTGGTTTACACTGTTCATTGTCTGGCGGGAGAATGTCCCAGCACACCTATTCAATTACCATGCAGATATAGCCTTATTAATGATAAGTGTGGCGTGTTTTGTGAGGGGGAAGTGGCCACAAATTTAACTCTTATATTCACAGAGTTAGCCCAAAAACTACCGGCGGATCAAAAACAGTTTGGCGTGTTTTGGGTGGGCCGCACGAATGTCACTGAACTGCCGGCCAATGTGTTCGCTGGACTGCAGTTCAACTTAATTCAAATACAGGCAAACAAATTACAACGTATTTATAGGCATGCGTTCAACGGCACCGACACCTCTACCACTGAACAGTATATCAGTGACGCGCCGGTCAACGAACGGGTGGACCGGGAATGGGATCTATTTGGCGCTATTCACACATTACAGGCGTTGAATGTGTTGCACATTGAAAACACAAGCGTCCGATCGTTGCCAACCCGTGCCATATCGGGCCATAAACAGTTGAAATGGCTCAATATAGTAAACAACCCTATTCATACGATCGCCACCCACGCGTTTAACGATTTACCTAGTTTAATTGATATGAGTGTGAGTCACAGTCCGATTGAAAGTGTGGCCAAACGGGCGTTTACGGTGGGCAACGGGGCGTCCGATCAGCGCATTGGCCTCGACCTGATCGGCGATTCGCTGACTGACAAGTCGTTTGCCGATAAGGCTTTCGATGATATGAAATGCGCGGTCATTCTCACCCTAATGGATAACTCCGTCCGCTATTTGAATCTCAACGTCTTTAAGGGTTTTTTGTCGGATAACCCGAACAATACAATCGTCGATCGGGCCGTCGATTGCAACAATAGTCGTAATGAATGGATTAAAAAGCAATTTCCCACAGTTTGGAAACAATTAAATTGTTAATTTATTTTTAAGTCAAACTACAATTATAGATTGTTAATTATTATAATAATTTTTTTATTATGAAATAAAATTTTGAATATTTGAACTGCATTTTTGTTATTTTTTGAATATATAAAATTGATTAAAAAAATAATTAAAAATCCATATTTTTATACTTACTCTTAAAATTAATCTATATACAATGAAAATAATAAATACAATTTGCTTTTATATTAGATTTACTCAATTATTTATGTAACACTTAATAACTAAATTAATTATAATTTATGTTAATTTATTATGTATTTTATTATTTTAAATAATTTTTATAAAAACTCATTTTTAAAAATATGATTAATTAAATTTTTACATTTTGCCCATCAACTATCAATTAAAAATTAAATATATAGTGTTTAATAAATGTTTAGATCTTAAGCCGATAACACTCTAAGACCTGTAACCTCTCGGTTACTCTGATTTGACGGTATATTTTGTCTATTATTTGTTATATTAAATAACATTACATTTTGTGGAGAATTCAGTTGAATGTTATAATTATTTGTAAATATATTTGTTTTTAATTTAATAACCAATTTTAAAATAAATTCAGCAAATATAAGGACCGATAGACCAAACCATAGACCCAGAAGTGATCCCATGAATACCACGTACTCTTCAAATGACATTTTCAATGATATCTCGTACACCATATCGGGCTCTGACGGTATTTTTAAATATAAATAATAGTAATTTTTATGCGAATATGAGCTTGCTGCATTAATCAAAAATTTTTTGTCAATAAAATAATAATGTTGCATACATTCTATTCGGTCACTGCATTCACGTTCACAATATTTATCAATATTGGGATTGTTAAACATTTTAGCATTTTGTTTACCATGTTTGAATATATATTGCACAGAATTATTCACATAATCACTAGTGTTATATCGTATATACTTATAGGGAAACCCGTTATACGTTCGACAAAATTCTCGTATTTTGCATTCAATCAGACAAACGCTTTGCGTTTGACTTTCGAAACATTTTTCACTTTTCATTTTATAGTTGTATTTAACAGTGATTTTCTTATAATTAATTGTCAATTCATTGAAGTCACGTGTTTTAATAACAACCGAGTTTTTTGTGTTGTATATTACCCGCAATCGTTGGCTACGGGAATGTATATAAGCGTAGATTTCTGTGTTGTTTAAATAACTTGTTGCGAGACTAATGGATATTATCTCACGTTTATAACTGTTGGTGGCGTTCACAGTGTACAGGGTGTCCAACTCATGCGACCACTGTGACAATATTGTCCAACAAATATGTTGGGTGTTTACATTGTAACTTGTTTGTACGGGTGTTATGCTATTGCATGGAAATGTTTTATAACCCACCTTATTCATAAATGTGCATTTAAAAAATATTGTTATTGGTATTATTTTATCCATGTTTTCACTTATATATTGTCCACTTTTTATCCATCGAGAATAATTTGCTATAAATTCAGGGCGTATTATGTTTTTAGTGTGTGTACATAAAGTGATTGCCGGTGGGCTAAACATTTCCAACGTTTCAAAGCCTATGTTTGTTGTGGTTTCGTATGAGAAGTATATTAAACTGATTTCATACGTTTGGTATAGAAATCCACTCAATAGTAATGTTTTAATTGCAATATCTATTACTGGTATTTTGGGAAACATTATTTTTTATAATTAGATTACTTTATTTTTGGATTTATATACTGTACATTTTTATCATACAACGCAATAAAAATAAAATAATATATTGTACAGTTATTGTTTTAATGAATAACACAGTATATATTACAATCAGATAAGTAACATAATATTTTTAACAGATAATATAATATAAATATGTAAATGTGTTAATATGTAAATATTCCAACTAAAAACAACCTAAATGTAAATGATAATATTTACAATGTATATCAAAGACATGAATACATTATTTACAATGAATATAATATCTATTTAAATTAATGGACATTATTTTATTAGGTCATAATATGAAAATATTCAATATGTAAATGTAAGTCAATATGCAAACTAATAATAAGTATTTCATTTATAAAAACATACAAGTATGAAATTAATGCTGGTCCAAGTTTAGTATATACTGGGCAAGCTACGGATATTCCGCTTGTTATGTTGCATCGAGCTAAGCAATACTGTACTCATAACTTATGCACTTTTAATGATATTAAATTTATTTTACTTAGTCGATTAATAAATTAGATTAAACACAAAATATTGTTTGCCCCTGTTTAAATAAATGGTAAATTACATTGTGTAAATGCAACAAATACATTGTGTTGTTGAATAGATTCGTTAAAATGTCATTATCTATACGAGATTAAATGGGTTCACCAAATATACTTTTACAGTACATTCTTTATATTCTTAAGTAAATTAAACGCCTAAAATATAAATACAATAACACCTACACGTTTTGTAAAATGATATTAATAATGTTGCAGTTTATCGTGTAATTATAAGTAGCTGATATCAATTAAATTCCCGTTTAATTAATCCGGGAATTTCTAGACATGTTTGCAATAATTTTATTTAATACAAACATTTCTGAAAAATCTAGACGAATCAGAAATTTGTTTTTATTAATTGACGTGTTTTAATATGAGGTATAAATATAACTCAAAAATCGTATAAAAAATTATATTTTAATAAAATTATTGTTACCATTATAAACACATTAACCATGCTTAAATTCGTGTGTCTGACACTATTAATTGGTTGTGTAGTATCTGGTGATGTTAATCACACCTTATGTAGTAAGTATTAAATACTTTATATAAGTTATTATGTGTTCAAATATTGTAATTATATCTTTGTTGTAGTTTAATTTAATATTATGCTAATGCTAATTTAATATTATAAAAATAATAGCGGTTGATCCAGCTGGCTCATGTACGCGCTTCTCAATTGCGGGCTGTGAGGCACATAAACCATGTAATGTAACTCGTGGTCAATCATTAGCCTTAGATTTTGATTTTATATCAGGTATAGTAAAAAAGTTGCTAAATATAATGCATGATAATTAATTTAAAATTCTCTCTCTCTCTCTCTCTCTCTCTCTCTCTCTCTCCAGAAAAAGATGAATTGTTCCCAAAATTCTCAATAACCGCTGAATATGACCTAGATAATAAGCATTACAGCGCAAAACTAGATGATTATTTATACTCGTTTGTGAAGGATGGCTGTAAGCATACCGACTGTCCAATTAATATTGGTTGGCTGCAAACATTTAATTTGCAACAAGCTATACCCAAAAAATTCTACCCTGGTTTCAAGAACATTGACCTCGCCTTTCGCTTAAATATCAATTCGGAAATTGAAACAAAGGCAATATTTTGCACCCAGGTCACTGTGAATCTGGTAGATTAATTAACTTATATTTATTTGATTTGTCAAAAGAAATGATAAACGTTAATTCTATTTAATAAAATTTAAGCATTAAAATTTATTAAATATTTAGTTTTACTGAAAAATAAGGATTATAACAATTCTGTGACTATAATTTTGTTTCTATAAGAAATAATTAAATAATAATACAAATACTATTAGTGTTTAAAAAGAAATCAACAAACTTCAGTTTGTTTTAAATGAATTTTAAGTTTATTAGTAATTAACTTGTTATGTCTTTCAATCAACAACAAGTTGTTGCTAATTAAAACATAATTTTGATTCAATAGTTCTGTCAAAAATAAGTTTAACTATAACATAACACGATAAATAATGTGGCATGGTCGACATTGTTAGATAACAACATTCTTAATAAAAAACAATAAATAATTTTTAATAACATAATGTAACCAGATGTTAATTTTCACTTTGGTTCAATTTCATTTTCTATATATCTTAAGATAATTTTTATAAAATAATTGTTGGTATACAAGCACGATAAGTATTGTACAAATTGCTATTAATATACATTGTGTTATTATTTTAGCATTTTATATTTTTTTTGTAATTTAATTAGATATAAATTATCTTGTTTACGAATAATATTTTACATATTGTAGAACTCAACAGCATACAGTATGATAGAAAGTAATTGCACCAATTAATAGAAATTATAATAAATTGACTATTTAAATAAATTATTTTATAAAAACAAGTTACTTTCCTAAATGATATTAGTAAAAAACAACAAAACAATTAGTTATATCTATTGAACGTAAATACTAACATACGATATAACTATTTCGTTTGTTTCAAACATAAAATTTAAAATGATTTTGTCAGCAAGAATACTTTATAAAATACTATCTTACATGTTATGTTTGATGGGAAGTGTATATCAAACGTATAAAATAAGTTTATTATACTTTTCAT